TAAAATATATAAATAAATACATATACAAAATATGGAATTACTTTCCAGAGAGATGTTACATATAACAGGCCACCTTTCCTTAATCCAGATTTCATTGTCATACAGAATTTGTCCATGAAATTCAGTAAACAATCAGCCTAAAAAAAAAAAAAAAAAAGCCAAAGTCTTCCTTATGTGAAAGCATCACATACCAGACCAAAACCAAACCACTTCTCTCCCAATTAAAAGGACATACAACATCATGGCAGACCGTTGGTTTAAGTATTTAAACCCAAAGGTTCTTACTCTTATGCTTAGATGCAGGCAAATCATCTCTACCAAAGTCAAATCAAGTAACAATTGTGTGTAGCATAAACAAAGCGTGTGGGTCTCAACACCCACATCCACAATCCCCCCATTTGGCAGCACTGTTTTAAACTGGGGTTCCTCATACAGAATATGTGCTTTGGTAGAGTGTACCAAGACAGCACAGAATAGATACAGCTTTTCAAAATAAATAAGCAAATAGAAAGGGTGGTACTGTAATGGTAATTTTTTTGTCTGTGAATACTCTGTATTAGTGTGAGCAGGAAACATACGCCCTGTTGCACAAACTCAAGCGAAGAACAGACAGAAGAATGCTTTACTGAGAGCTTCAGTGCAACTGTTATCCTTTCCAGTGGCATAATTCAGTGATGGGTATACCAGAAATACCAATAAAATAGAATAATTAATTAAAAAAAATTATCTTGGTATTTGTAGTTATTTCAAATATCAAAACTTAATATCTTCTGGAAACATTTCCTTTGCTTCACAAATTCATTTCTGTTATCTAGAATAGGTCAGTGTGTACGCATATGGTTCTATACATATCTGTAAATCATTCCATACTCTTACTTCCTCTGCATACAGAAGTATACACTAGAATTACTGTGTAGTATTTGGTATTCACATGTTACATTTAAATAAAAGTTTATTAAAAAACAATTATATTAAATACAGACTAACAGAATATTCATAATATACTTTACAGAAAAAAATAGGCATGTCTTTATTTTAGAAATAAGTTTCTTTAAAAAGTTCTTTGAGATTTTTATAAAATTTTTACCTGTGAAGGTAAGTTTTCTGTCAGACCTGTAAAAACACCTTAACCTTTAAATCCTTGTGGGTTTTGTAATTTTTTTTTTTTTTTTTTGCTTTAAAGCTTTTACAAGCTTACAATCTATAAATTCTTTAAAATAGAAAACAAGTATCTTCTGGGATCAAATTGGTCACAGGCCGTTCTTTAGTCAGTGGAGACTCCCTGAATCCATTCCCAAGTGCCTTCTGTTGTTCTGTCTCTCTGGGTATCAATAGTGCAGGTTGATGTGGAAACTCAGAGCTCCCTACCCGTCCCATAGGAAGCCTGATGCGTGCCAGCGGAGGGTGCGGGTGCAGCCGCGTCCACGGAGGGCGTGGGGGGGGGTGCGGCCGCGTCCACGGAGGCTGTGACTCCCCAGCTGCTACAGGAGGCAGAGCTCTTCACTCCACGTGCAATGCAGTCCACAGTGTTTGCCCAGCCCCTCCGAGGTCTCTGCGAGGTCCAATGGCCACGCACAGATGCCAGAAGAGCTGGCACCCAGCCCTCATTTGCTTTCCAAGTTATAGCAGTGGACATCTCCCTTCCCCTTGCCGTCGTAGCCGGGCAGGGGCTGCCCGTACTTGTCCACGCACCAGCAGTAACCCCTCTTTCGGCCTTTGGATGGGCGGCACTGAAACAGAAGGAAAGGCCCAGTTAGCTTTGCTTCTGTTATCTCTGGTTTGAGTGTTAGCCAGCAGGGATCCCTCCTGTGATCGCTGTACTTCCACATCCTGGCCACATCTGACAGAAGCAAACAGAGCATTACCACTACCAAGGATTACAATAGAGCCTTATCTCCTCTTGTCTGTCAGCCCCTCTGGGTTTATTACTCACAATAAAATTGCTCTGAAAGCTACCAGAGAACAGCCTTATGAACCCCTCCCTAGGCAGCACAGTTTGAATACTCCCTTTTGAATATTGCCTTTGGAATACCAGCACTACTTACAACAGTATGGGCTGACAACTGGGACCCATCTTTGGAAAAGAATAGATTTGTTCTACGCTAAAACACAGGTCTGGCAAAGGCAGCCATTACAGCAATAAACACCCTTGGCTTGCATCTGTTTGCTGGAGGAATTTCAATACTGTAGTTGACATTTATGAACAGACACATAATCCTTCTGTCATGGAGTTATCACTTCAGCAACTGCTAGGTGTACTGGAACTTTACATGTATATTTTCCTATAAATAATGTTGCTTATATACTAGTTTATAACCAATGTCAGCCTTAGAAGTGGCCTGTTGGAATTTGCCAGCAATGCTGACCAGCCTGAAACTACCACAAGTGATGACACTGAACTGCTTTAGAAACAGTAAGGCAGTAAAAATGCATTATAAAGCCTAGCAAGTACCAAGTAATGTTCTCCTCAAGGAGCCAAAAACGGTAAAAACTAGACACTAAAGGGGATATCATGCTGCAGTTTGCATTCGGTAAGCAACAGTTACATACCGTGAACCTCTGGAGTAGGTGAAAACCTTGCAGAGTCCCAAAGACAACTGTTTCCAGGACACAGATGGTCTCACTAGGTTGGTCACAGTCAACCTCACTGCCAAGACCTATGCTCCATGCTATAGTCCAGGTTTTGAGATTTGGTGATACAGGATTCAGTGCAAATGCTAACAGAGGTGGCTGTTTAGTCAGGACAGACAGGCAGCAGGCAGTGACACAAACATACCTAGCTTTTCAAAGACAGAGGTTTCATCTGTTGCACCACCAACATGAAGGAAGATAAGCTAGACTGAAGCCACTCGACGGCTCTCAATACTGCAAAGCCTTCCATGCAAGCAGAGCAAATGCTGCCCCTGGGATCGCACAGTAAGTCAAGTATTTCACAGGTTCAGGCTGGTTCGTATCAGGTAACTTCTGTCACTACTGCTCAACTGCATGTTCTCCCAAGTCTAACAGGTGTGGATGCATCCCCACGTGGGTATGGCAGCAGCTCACAAAACTAAGCGTCTTTTTCACGTGCAGGTACACAAGGAAACATGAAGCTAGTGTTAGGCTTCACATGCTACCCGAAGTGCCTGACCCTTTCCACACAGAGTTTAGGACCTCAGCCAAAGGGTGATATTTTGGACAGAAGCGTGAATATAGGTCACTCCTGGGACAGCCTGCACCAGTACAGTGGCCCCTGAGCCAACCAATTTGTGGTGGCATGGAGCAGGGTGGACAGCCTTCAGCAGGAACTTCTTGAAGACAGATGGGATCAGATCATGGTAGACAAACTTCTCAACAAGTTTCCATCTCGTTTATTTTATTTTGGAGTAAATTAAGTAATGTTAATCATCATAATTGCAGAATAATCTACCCTTGTGATATATTTTTGAGTAACAAGCGCAATGCAGGAATACTACAAAGCCTTCCCTTCTCTGAATTTGCAATCCTCCTGCATTAGCCCAATGCAAACGGGCAGCAGTAGAATGACAAGTTCAAGCTTAAACCATTTATCAGCTTATTTTAGGAGTGGGTGAAGATCAAATATCCTGAGATAACAGCTACATTAATAATTTGCTAAACTATGTGACTAGCTGCATTTCAGTTCTAGTTACCTCTTCAGCTGGTTGTCTGCACCAAAAGTTTAAATGCAAGTTTTACCACTTATCTGTATTGTCTCAAAAGCTCGACTATGGGTTGAGATTATTCTCCAGGATTTTCGTAAGTGGCTGCTCAAAGTCCTCTGACATCAGTGGGAAATCTTCCTTCAATTTTGGTGGCAAGAGGACTAGACTTTAGCTTAACTGGTATTGACATTTACTGACTTAAATGCTTCATGCTCAAAACTGAGGAATTCATAAATAACAGCCTTTGCACAATTTAAGTTTTACAGAAAAGGAAACTGAGGCAGCAGTTCTTAAGTTGTTTTTCCCAAGAGAGTAGGCAGAGATGGAACCCAAATTAGAGCACAGGGCTTCTGGCTGTCAGCCTTGGTGCTCCAGCAGTGAAACTACACCTCTGCTAATAATAGTAACATTGCCTCCCCTTTTAGCAGTACTATATGAAGTACGTTACACAACTCTCGCTGATTCATAGGCTTGCATCGTTCTCAAAAGAAATGATCAATTAAAGTTAACTCAGGTTGTTGGAGGTTTTGATTGCTTTTTACAGTTGCACAATCAGATTTAAGAATTAACTACAACATGAAGTTGATCTGCAGGAACACCTTCCCTACTACTAATATTTTAATTTCTTCTAGACCACCCATTTGGAAAACAAAGCATTCCTATCATTCTGCAGCTGAAATAAAGCTCTTTGAGGAAACAAGTTACACCTTCCAGCCTGCAGTTTTGTACAACCACTCAGCTAGGCTGTCAGTAGTAAGGCACTTCTGATACAAATGTGATGCTTTTATCCTGAAGCAGCTAGCTTGCCTTCCCTACAGAACTGGTTGAGAGTTCATACAGGAAAAAAAAAAAAAGAGATCTAGTCTTCTGAATTTTGTACTCTTCTAGTCTTCTGAATTTCAAGGCTCTGCCTAGTGCTTCTGTATGATTTCAGAAGTCCAAAAAGCTGGAAAACTGCCCAAGCGGTGGAACCAGTAATTACTTCTGATAGAAACACCAGCTGCCAGCTTCCATGCCACCTGCCCCTTTCCCTTCCACAAAGAAGTGCCACAGAAGCATTCGTGGGGCACAGCGAAGCATATGGTATCCCACCGAATTCCTGGTCAGCCCAGAGGTCTCTGTGGAGCTACAACTGTGGTCTCCCTGAACAGACTGCAGACAGCATTGACATATACCTCAGGCCATTTTGGCTCCTGCCAAGCCCAGCTCTGTTTTCACTGGAACAATGCCAGCTCACATTTAGGCAAGTATCTGGCTCTGGTACACAAACACGGGGCAATTCTAGTAATTGCCCCATATAGTAATTCTAATTTCATCAAAACCTTTTTTCCATGCTTGAGGCAGAAACGTGCCTGTATCAACCTACTCCACATAAATATACCTGTGTACCACAACTGAATAGCACAATGCTACATGTGTGGTTTATTAAGGCAAAGAATTCTAAATGCTAATAAGTCTGATTTTAAGTTTATATATAAACAAAAGGTGTGAAGTATTTTTCATATTATACCCTGACAGGTAAATTTCTGTTCTTAAAATTATTTCACATATGCAAATTACTCTCTGTGGTTACTCCTAAAAAATCATTACCTAGGTATCCACAAGTATCTTGACAAGTAATTGTGTTCAGCTTGTCTGGAAAAGCAGGTGACTGGGAAGGCAGAATATACCAACAGATGAAGTGCTTCCTGAAGTGCTTAATGGTTTCCAGAGTGATCATTGTTTATCGAGTTCCTACCATCACACTCCTATCTGCATTATCGTCCTAGGTAATGGCTTTGGCAGCTGTTTCCAGAATTAAAAATGCCTGGCTTACACTCATTTTTTTTGATGGATTTACTGTGTGTTTCCTAACCTACTATTCTGAATCTTGTTGTCAGAACAGAATATAGCTGAATAACAGATTAAATGCTGCTAATACTAGCACTGAAGGAAAGGAATAAAATAGCCTAGTGTCCTGCTAATGACATCAGACACCTGCTCACAGCATCCAGAATATCACACCTACACACTGACACTCCAAAAAGAAAACAATTGTTGCATTGCCTTGTGGACAGTAAATTCAGTTTGGACTGGGCTCACTCATTTCTCAAACCAACGCTTTTTTCTAGGAGTTAAGTCTACAAGGGCTACTCAAATACATTATTTTTGGTATGTATTTTGTTTGTGTGAGAAGTAGCTTCCTCTTCTCACAGCCTACTTGTGAAGGCCTGTGCCCAGGGTTGACTTGAGGTTCATTTACAGAAGAACTCCAACTGCATTGCACGCAGAATGTTTACTCACATTGGATCCGTTTCTGGGCATCTCCTATAAGATCCTGAGTTGCCTCAAACTACCATTGAAACTACTGGACCCATGTAAATTGGCACGGTGCGTGACAAGGCAGGTCAGGTATAAAAGTGCTCCTTCATCCTCTGTGTGTGCTGGTCAGATAGGCTCTTTTGCACATAGCACAGGAACCCCTCCTAAAGCAGCATGAAAGTCTCCAGGCAGCACAGACACTGCAAAGAAGGCCAAGTGTGTCTTTGTTCTGTATCAACACCTTATTCTCATAAATCAACTTTTGGGAACAAAGACTGGATAAGTGCATTACCTGTCTTTTCTATTTTTTCCCTCTATATTTTGCTTTTTTCTACCTCAGTGGCACAATAACTGTACCTTAAAAGTGTACTCGTGCTTTAAAAAAAGGCACTTTAATACATGCTGCTTACTGTGGATCTGGTTTACTACACAGAGATGCCAAACACTGTGTGCAAACCACCAACTTTTTTGCTGACAAAGCAAAAACCTCAGAGTCTGAAGACAGAGAAAAAGGAAGACCTACTGAACAAGTAAATACCAATTTGCAGTCTTCTGTAACACCTACAGAAGGAGAAGGACTACAGTACGTTTCTGTGCCTTGAATGCAGTTAAATGATGTGCTGTTCTACAGTAAGCTGTTCTACAGTAACTAAGCAAATGCTTCTACAGCACAGGCACAAAGCATAATTCTACCCTTGCTCCACACAGCAGTCTGACATTTTCTGAACAAATGCAAGGCAAGATGTGAGCATAGCTCTCTGCTAGTTTACACTCAGTGAGACGTTAATGACACAGGCTTCTCAAAACTCCAGACAACAGAAAGAAACTCTGTCCCTGCTTGAGAGTCACCACCACCTGCTCGGGAAAAGCTGGAGAGAGCAGACAAGCTCAGCAGCATGCACTGAAGATCAAACAGCTCAGTCAATGCTGGGCTGATAGCAGAAGGGAAGGCTGGAAACCTCACCCCTATTGCAAGTGCCGCACCTGACACTGCCAGCTTAACGCAGAGCTCCAGGGAATACCCAAAAGGGAAAGACTGTTTCTAAGAAAGCTGGGAGCCAGAAGATGGAGAGATAACACCCCTAAAATAAGGTTGCCCGGTCAGAGGTTAGTCTCTGGCTTCCAACCAATGAACAGTGTTAACTAGCAACAGCTAGCCACTCCTTTAGATACCAGAGAGAAAGAGGATGACCCCTGTAAATCCAAACGGGAGAGGCAAGATGGCCCACCAACAAAATCTGTCCTTACGTAGGGTCTGCCTTGAAGAAAATCTTAAAAGAAACTTTTAGTTTAGGAAATTTTTGAATTACACCAAGAAACACATCTGGAGACAAGTCACTAACTAAACACTGGAGTTGAATGAGATGTGCACACTAAGCAAAGAACCTGGCCCATCTTGCACTTCCCAAGTTCCTAAATGAGCTTCACGGGCAGTACAGAATGAAAAATGTTGCTGCAGCTCAACTCGACAGAACTGAAGCATAAATACCTGCAGTTTAGAGCAGCATTTGTCAAGAAAAGACACAAACCCAGAACCAAAGAGGGCTGGGAAGCCATCCTCGCTGCAGAGTAACTACTGGATATATCACTTTCATGATAACATGACCTGGATTTTCAAAGCAATCTGTGTGGCACATAAAGGACAGATATATACCTCTCTCAAGTTGCATTTTGTAATATGATCCAGTGCAGTTCTTCTAGGAACTCTCAAGCAGCTATTTACAATTCAAAGCATTGATCTATTGCAGTCATATGGTGACTGCAACATTTAGCTCTGTGGGTTATTACAGAGGCACTGCTTTTTTTAAACCACAGGGCATTAGAATATAGGACACCAGCCAACCCATGTGTGATTAGGTATGAAGTTTCTCAAATTAATCTGTTGTCATGACCAAAAGAAAATAAAAACACTGTCCCCAGTTGACAAGGTTCAGCACTATCAGATCAGGTCCTAAAACTGGAAATTACAGAATCACAGAATCGTTCTGGTTGGAAGAGACCTTCAAGATCAAGTCCAACCATTAATCCAGCACTGTCAGGTCACCACTAAACCATGTCCCTAAGTGCCACCTCTACATGTCTTTTAAATACCTCCAGGGATGGTGATGCAACCACTTCCCTGGGCAGCCTCCTCTTGTGCTTGGCAACACTTTCTGTGAAGAAATTTTTCCTAATATCCAATCTAAACCTCACCGACACAACTTCAGGCGATTTCCTCCTGTCCTGGTGCTTGCTACATGGGAGAACAGATTGACCCCCACCTCGCTGCAGCCTCCTTCCTGGTAGTTATAAAGAGTAAGAAGGTCAGCCTCCTTTTCTCCAGGCTAAACAACCCCACTTCCCTCAGTCAGTCCTCCTAAGACTTGTGCTCTAGACCCTTCACCAGCTTCACTGCCCTTCTCTGGACACTCTCCAGAACCCCAAATGAACTAATTCTTATGTAAAATGATACATAATTCACTTTGCTGGCAAAATCCTTCAGCAAAGACACAAAAGGTGAAGTGCATTCACTGAAATGATCAAGACTCTGTACTTACTTGCTTTTTCTTGTAGAATCCCTTCTTGTCACAATTTGGAATATGAAAGCCCCTCGGACTCAAGACATTCAGGATCTTTAGGTGGTTTAAAGTGTCTTCCATTTCTCTGCGACAGGGACCCTGTTAACAAGCATGTTTTAGAAAACACAAATGAAACTTTATTCCTCAACTGTCCTCCTTCATGCAAGAATTAATAAATCTTTAAAGTGCAAGAAGCACAAACTCAAAGAAATCCATTAAAACAAAGGGATGCCTGGATTTGTAATAAGGGAAATGATTCACAGATAAAATTCTGACTTTCTGCTTTATTCAGGATAAATCAATTTCTAAAGACTGAAGGCCCTATGCTATGCTGAGCCACAGACTGCCATTTCCAGTTGTAATCACAGTCACACACCTGCAGAAGGCTTACCCAGTATATGAATCAATCGTATATAACCTAACTTAGGTTTGGAAAAGCTGGCCACCAAGTGGGAAAAGAAGGTAGGCAACTGGTAATACACCATTTAGTAGATTTCCCCCTACAGCCATTTGATTTTTGTGATTCTGCTGTATATGAAAACTGAAACAAAATGGATTTAAATGGAAAACACATAGTTTGGCATAATGTATATGCGTATATATATATAAGTACTCCAACTTCGGACAACAATTCCCAATTTCAGCTGGACTAAATGGATCCAGCCATGCAAAGGAATGGTTCCACACATCAGTTTTATGTACTAAGTATGTTACTTTTTGCCTCACTTTCTCCATCTCCAAAAGGCTGACAGCAATGTAGTGAGGATGAGTTCTAGGACAATGAGCCAAAAACAATCTTCCTGAAGCACTTTTAAAGAGCGTGTCTTACACGCCAACTAATTATTTCTCAGTGCAGCCCTTCAGGGTAGGGAGTAAAGCATTATGAGCCCTACTCTGCAGTCAAAAAACAGGAGCAGAGGAGAGGCCAAGAAGGCAGTCAGTGTCAGCAGTGGGATCAGGATTCAAAAGTTGCAGCCTCAAACCCGTGCTTAGCTGCACTCCTGTCTGGGCACATTACTGACTCGGCCTACCAGCCCACTTCTTCAGCAGAGACTTGAAAAAATGCCTTTGCATGGTTGCATGGGCTTAAAATATTTAAGTTGCTGTATCGACACAAAGACTCATTTGGTGCAATATTTAATTAGTGTAGTAATTACATTTATACTTTCAAATGGTAATACTAGTTTGCTCATGTAAAGTGACTACAGTGTATATGAAAGCATATAGATCCCACAGTTCTACTGGAGTTTAAAATTGATTTTTTTGGTTAGCAAAAACCTTCCTTGCTGCTTTCATGTTTTCTTTCATTATCAATCTCACAAGCTCTAAATGTGCTCTAAACTGCTGCTCTTACTGGCAGTTGTTTAGAAAAACAAAACTGCTCAGACACTGACTGCAAATCACACACATTCAAATATTTGGTCCTAAGACAGACCTACAAAAAGATCCTCTTTTTTTTCCTCTCTCCAGAGTCAGAGAGATCAATATCAAAAGCTAACATGCAGACACAGCTGAAAGGACATTGGCTGACAAAGGCACCTGTCCCCAAAAGACTTATTTTTGGTTCTTACAGACACCCGCAGCCTTGGTAAGTTGCTGCACCTTTGCTCATGGGACCAAACTACCATGTTAAGTGAAGTGTTCATCCTAGTGAAGACCAGAGTCCTACTTCCTCAGGGCTACCACAGGTCATTCTTTTACTGTAGGCAGTTCACATTTTGGGAAGAGGACATGCTGGAAGGCAGATATTGAAGTGTTTTTACTAAATGGACAGATACTAGTGACAAACTAATTCACCATCCTTGCCATGTTAACTCAGAGAGCACACTCTTTCCACACCACACGTTTCAAAACCTCCTTTTGCACATGAGAAGCCATGTCTGTTCTCACCATGATGAAACACCAAAGTATATCGAGATATTTTAGGCCATCTGGCACAGGCACAAGGCTAACTGCCAGGTTAACAGCCAGGATGTCCAGGAAGAGGAATTATTCTCCCCTCAGAATTTCACCCCACTCCAGCAGCCCTGAAAATCCACTGGGCAGTCAGAAAAAAGAAGCAATGGCAGCTCATGTGCCCATGAGCCTTGCACTTAGGCACTGGCATCAAACAACAACTGCAAATAGAGGTGATATTCAGAACATCATACAATGACTGATCCGTCAAGTTCCTAATCCTCAACTTAGCCTAAGTTTATCTCCCTTGATTTGTGCTGTGGAGTGTGAACACAGTCCCACTACGCTGAATGTGAAACGTCTTTTTGCCATTACAGCAACCCTGTAATGCTGTTTGCAACCAAATTTAATGATGATGCTATTAAAGCTGTCCCAAGCCCATTCACATAACCATGTGATATAAATGTGTGACAACTACAAGGGTGAACAAGAATTTTCGATCTCTAAAAACAATTTAGTGATAGATGTAAAAATCATTGTGCTGGGCCTTCATGCTTTCTGAAAATGACCTGCTCAGTCTGATGACCGTTGGCATTTGCAGGTCCAACAGTTTTACTGGTTAGACAGCCAGAATGCCTTAGATGGCTACAACATTTGCCACCATTTAGTTATTTAGTTTATCTTGTCATAAGCACAACATGCATATACATACATGTGCTCATGCTCACCCACACACTGGGAAATGCCTTTCCACTGATGGGAGTACTTACGTATTCAGTCTCTTGCTTGGATTCAGAAGAGAAATTCAGTGTATCCGTACTCTGCGAATCGTATTCCACTTTATAGCGCTGCGTATTTTTGGCTTGCACTTTCCTGATGATGTCTATTTTGGTGTGCGGTGGGTGCGATTTGGAATCTGGGACTCTGTGGGAGTTTGGGATGGCCTGATTTTCTATACTGCTGGTATTCTGGTCTTCTTCTTCCGAATCACTGGAATTTCCTTTGAGAAGAACAAACGCAGTGAAGAAACAAAGTCAATCAACTGCCAGCTGCACCTAGAAGGGGCAACAAGCCGCCCAATTTCCTTTACGAAATAACAAGGAACAACTCAGCGCTCCGCACGCATCAGCACCGTCGTTGCCGAGGAATGACTTTTGTAACTGAAGTATCCCCTCGCCCCCGGCGGGCTCGCAAGGCACCCACCGCACACCCCATGCAGGCTACCCCACGCCTCAACACCGGCCACTTGGCTA